TTTCTTTTTTTCTTTATTTATTTCTTCCTTTCTTTCTCTTTCTCTCTCTCTCTGTGTCAGTCTGTCTGTGTGTGGGGGGGGGCAGTGGTGGGTTTCAAAAAATTTTGGAACCTCTTCTGTAGGTGTGGCCTGCTTTCCATGTTCATTGGTGGAACCTCTTCTAACCCGTTTGGTAGATTTGACAAACCGGTTCTACCAAATAGGTGCCAACTGGTAGGAACCCACCTCTGAGTCACACCTATCAAGCCACCTTTGGGTTAATGTCGGCTTATTGGGAATAAAGCACCTTTGGTTGGGCTAATGTGGCATGACGAACCACAAGCCATAGTTTCCAAACTGTAAGGGCTGGCCTTATCTAGATGCAACCAAACCTCCCACACAGCACATGGGGCTGTCACAACGGGTTGTGCGAAGTCACGATAGACAACTCATGATCCCGCACAATCAGCCCCGGGGCCACCACCAATCCACCATGGGAAGAAGGCAGCAGAATTAACCATGAAAGTAATAATAATGAGGATAAATTGACCTCAATGGGGCAGCAGATCCTGCTAATCCCACACACACCCCCATCCCAAGGCAAGTCATTTTCAGGCCAACTTCTAATCCAGCCTTCCCAGAACCTTTAGCAACTTTTTAAGACACAGGTATGTCCTCAGACTTATGACTGAAATGGAGGCCAGCATTCATGTTGTCAAGTGAGACAAGTCGTTTGACAAGCATCTGGTTTTTTTTTGATCGAGTGTGAAAAATCACTAAATCGCTTTTTCCCAGGGCTGTTGTGACTTGGAACGGTCCCTGTTGTAAATCGGTCCCGTTGTAAATCGGTCCCTGTTGTAAATCGGTCCCGTTGTAAATTGGTCCCTGTTGTAAATCGAGGGCTGCAGGTGAATTCCAACTCCCGGAATTTCCCAGCTGCCATTCTCAGGAGTTGGAAAGTCCCCAGGCCTTTAATGTTGGCCACTTGGGAGAAAGGTGTCCTGGGTGGGTGTCCTGCTTGGGGGGAGGGGGTTGGACTAGATGACCTACCAGACCCCTTCCAACTCTTGTTAATGCAATCTAATCCTAACAACCTCCTTTGAAAAGGGAGGGAGGGAGGGGGGAAAGCAGGGAGGCCTCCTTTTTCAAAATCTAGAATTGAGGGTGGGGGGGGGAAGCCCCGCAGGGGATCTTCCTGCCTCGGAGTCCCCCAGCCAGGCGAAGACTACACCTCCCATCCCCCGCAGCCACCCAGATTCCGCCCTCCCACGCCTTCCCTTGAGATCCCGAGCCTTCCCAAGGTTAGGCACTGCGCTTACGAAACCTGCCTGCTGCGCAAGGAAGAGAAACGGGGAAGAGGGGCGCTGAAGCCCCCGCTCGCCCACCCACCCACTCCCCTTCCCCAGAGCCTGCGCGGCTGGGCCGAGCCCCTCTGCCCTCCCTCCGGCTGAGCTGCCGGGTCTCCAGATGGGGAGAAAGACCCTCCCCGAGCAGCTGGTGGGGGACGCGGGAGCTGTCCAAGCGCTTCCAGTTCCCAAATCAAGCCGGGGCGCGGCGGGGTCTCTGGGCTGAGGATCGCCCTGCCCATCATCCCCAGCTCCGGGGGTCGTCTGGCAGAGGGCCGGCGTTGGAGGGAGGGAGACTGAGTGGGGGTGGGGGGCAGCTGGCCAAGGCTGCGGGGCGCAGAAGGGAAAAGGCGAGGCGTGCGCGCCCGGGCGTCTTGGCGAGGCTGCTTACCCGCGGCTCCTCCCGGGCTCGCTTCGGGCCCTTCTTCTCGGTCCATCGCTGGCCTCGGTCATGTGAGCCTCCTCCGGCGGGGGAGAGAGTCCCTCCTCTGGCTCTCCGGCCAGGGGGCCGGTGGGGCGGGCCGGGGAGGCGCCTCCGAGGCGGGCCGACGCGTGCCGCTGCCCCAGGATCGCTTGGCGCGCTGCTTGGCGCACCCCGAGCCCTTCTGCAAACGGCCAGGAAGGCAGGGCCTCGCAGGGCCAGAAGTGGGGAAGGGGTTTCTTAAACGGCTGCAGTCCCGGGGTGGAGGAAGAGCGGGGGGGGGGCGGGAAGGGACCCCGCTCCCTCCGGCCCGCGCGGAGACTCGGGGGCGATTTGCAAGGCTGCGCAGACTTTGCAAAACTCCCGCAAGAAAGCCCCGGGGGGAGGGGGAAGGGGAGGCAGGAGGAGGGAGGGTTGGACGGGGCTGGGCTCAATGGATAAGGGGATTCCCTCCCCCCCTCCGCCTCTTGGCTGGGGCAGGCGTGGGCACCCCAAACCCCAGTTGCGATCCGCAAGGCCGGGTTGGAGCACAAGGCTCTGACTTAGCAGATGTGCGTCAATGGGGAGGGGGGAGGGAGGGGGGAGCGCTCCCTGGAACGCCCAGATGGGGGCAGCGCCAGCCAGGATTTTTGCACAGCTGGTTGTGCAGAGAGCCCCTTCCTTAGCTGTTCCTAAAGGGACACACCCTTTCCCTGGGGTGGTGCGCGAACTTGGCAATTCTCCAGCAGCTTTTTAAGAGGGGGGGACTTCAAAAAACCCCTCCCCAAATTCTCCAGCCAGAGCCAGTTGAAGGCCAGCTGAAGTTGCCAAGGTTGAGAAAGGCTGCTAGTGTCTTCACACGCCAGGAGAAAAGTGGATAAGGTAATTTGAATTGTCACTTATACTGTGTGCACACATTAAAAATGAAATTCTGATGCCCGCTCTCCTATCTATATATCTCTATATATATCTATACACATACAGTACATACACACACATGTAGATATGAAGGGGAGGGAAAGGAAGGGAGAATTCTTTATTGGCCAAGTGTAATTGGGCACACAAAGAATTTCTCTCCAGTCCATAAGCTCACCGTGTACATATAAAATAGATATGTGCATATATATATATATATGTGTGTGTGTGTGTGTGTGTGTGTGTGTGGTATTTGTGCTGATAAATAAATAAAGGGAGACTAGTATAGATCTATTTCAAGCTATTTAGCTCTCATCAGCTAGCCATACCCTTACTGGGTATGCACAGGTTCGAATCCCAGTAAGGGTATGGCTAGCTGATGAGAGCTAAATAGCTTGAAATAGATCTATACTAGTCTCCCTTTATTTATTTATCAGCACAAATACCACACACACACACACACACACACACACATATATATATATATATATATAGCTAGCTGATGAGAGCTAAATAGCTTGAAATAGATCTATACTAGTCTCCCTTTATTTATTTATCAGCACAAATACCACACACACACACACACACACACACACATATATATATATATATAT